CTTGAGCTTAAGAAATGCTGAGCGAGTTCGGCCCTTTTGATTTTCTGACTCTAGCTCCTCGCACATTTCATTGTAGTATTTTGCTTTGTCATTCCTAGCAGCCTTTTGGAATCTTCTGTTCATCTCTTTAGTATCTTGAATTCTTCCTTATGCTTTGGCTTCTCTACACTCCAGTGCAATCTTCAGAGTCTCTTTTGACATCCATTTTGGTCTATTCTTCCTCTTCTGTCTTTGTAATGACCATTTGCACTCTTCCTGAATGATTTTGTAAAATCAGTGACTTATTCATTGCAAATACATTTTATAAGAGACACAAACACAGGTTATACACATGGACTTCACCTGATAGTATGCATAGGAATCAGATCGACTACATCTGTGGAAGGAACCGCTGGAGAAGCTCAATATCAGCTGTGAAAACTAGGCCGGGGGCTGTGCAAGTTCAAGCTGAAGCTGAGGAAAATTAAACCAAATCCACAGGAGCCAAAATATGACTTTTATTTCATACCACCTGAATTTCAGAACCATCTCAGGAACAAGTTTGGGGCCTTGAACTTTCTTAGCACTAGCAGTCAGGAAATCAAAAGACAAATTGCATGGAGAAAATCTGCTGTCAGGGACCTTTGCAGAGTGCTGAAAAGCAATGATGTCGGTCTCGAGACTAAGGTGCATCTACTCCAGGCCATGGTCTTAGCAATTACTTGCTGTGCTTCAGAGACCTGGACAATGACTGAGGATTACAGAAGAAGAATCAAATTAGTGCCTTCAAATTGTGGTTCTGGAGAAGAGTCTTGAACATACCATGGATTGCCAAGAAAACAAATAGGCCTGTCTTGGACAGGGTGAAACCACATTTCTCCTTGGAGACTAGGATTTTGAAGCTCTGTCTCACATACTTTGGGCACATGGCCAGGAGACACCAGACCTTGGAGAAGGACATCATGCTTGGAAGGGTGGAGGGACAGCACAGGAGAAGAGGACTCCAGATGAGATGGATTGATACAGTAACTGGGGCAATGGGGGTGAAATGTTGGAATTAGAGAGACTGGCTCAGGACAGGGCAGGATTCAGAGCTGCTGTACATAACATAGCTATGGTTTGCAGGTGACTCAACGGCACATAACAACAACAGCAACTATAATCCAAAGGCCATACTTCTCTGATAGCTCAAATCTACAAGCAGCTCTGAGGAAGAAAAAGACATAAGTCTTCATTAGTGCAATTTACAGCCTCAGAAGCCCAAAGGAGGGTCAATTCTGTGTTCATTCTGACTCAGTAGCAATGAATGTAACAATATTGGGGCTTCTTTATTTTCTCCTAGACTAAAAAATAATGTGGTAAGAAAAACGCCAGGCCCAGTTTAGACTGAGTAGATTGATGTGTGAGAGCTCCAACAAAATCCTGTAAAAACAATAAACCCACTGCTTCCAAATTGGTTTTGATTCAGTGGTGATATTCCATTGGGTTGAATGCTGTAAATCTCAATGGGAATAAATGGCTTAATCTTTGTACTCTGAATGATTAGTTGGCTCAAATTGCCAACCTTCTGGTTAGAAATCCAATACTTAACCTTCTACAACACCAGGGCTTCTGAACAAAAGGGTTCCCTTGGCTTAGTGTTAAGAAACTCTGCTGCAATTCTGAAGGCAGAAGGTCCGAATACACCAACTGCTCCATAAAAGAAGGATGGACAGTCTCCTCTTGTGTGATTTATAGCCTCTGAACACCTGCTGGATTTGTTTCCAACTCAACAGCATACAACAACAGCTGAAAAAAAAAAGAGGAAAGAAAGAAACAAATATTGGATGGACAACTGAAACTTCACTATAATTATTGCGAAAATTCAGAGAGATAATTAGAATATGACTCTGAGAGTCATTTAACTGTACCTAGATACTATTTGTAAATTTAAAATAGAAATACTTCTTTGGCTAGAGCCTTTTTCTTTCTATGATGACTTTAAGGGAGCTCTGGCAACTTAAAGAGTTGTACTGCCAACCCAAAGAATCGCGGTTTGAATCTCTCAGTGGCTCCGTGTAGGAAAGATGGGCAGTCTCCTTCCATGTGACTCGCTGCCTCTGAAAACCATTGTAGGGTCAGCTATGAGTTGGTTTTAGATGGTAAGCAACAACATGGTGACTAGTCTTGTCATCAAGCTCTACTCATCATACTAGTTCAGATTTTAAAGATTAAAGCCAACAAAACCCTATGGTGGACTTCTACTCTTTAACTTGCGGCTACCAAGAGTCAGAATCAACTCAATGACAACTTTCTGTAATCTTTGGTGTTTCTGTTGTTGTAAGTAGCAATTTCCCCTTTCAAAGTTTAGCATTATAGAGTCTTGACCCTTGGATATAACGATTCTATTTCAATGTTTCTTATTTGTTTAAGTTGACATCTGTCTAATGAGAATTTATCAATTCTGTCTTTCTGCCTTGATCCCTGTGTAGAGTCTCAAGACCATTTTTCTACCTTTGACAATCCTGTTGACATGTTAGTGATAATCCCATTTATTTCTAAAATGTTTCTGCCGTCTTAAATCTTGTCTTTTCTTCCAGCATTTTGCCAAAGTGATGAACTTGAATGTGTAAGCCATGATTGTGTGTCCCGTGATCTGTGGTGCAATGGTGAACCAGACTGCTTAGACAGTTCAGATGAATGGGACTGTGGTAAGTTGCTTTTCTACCATTTGTTCATATATTCAAATGCCTGTTAGCCACTGAAACTAAGTGAATCTTTAATTCCTTCACTGATTTATTCATTTATTATAAAATATGGCAATGCTTTTTATGTGTCAACTACAACTCATAGAGACCTATGAACAATGGCTCTGCATGTTGCCCGATCCTGAGACACCCTGTCTCTGACACACCTGACCCCATTGCCACAGTCATGTATCAATCCATCTCATCTAGTGTCTTCCTCTAGGGTGCTGACCCTCCACACTTCCAAACATGGTGTCCTCTCCTGACAACATGCCCAAGATGTAGTGATTCGTATATATTGTTCCCAACTCATACAAAATTTCCCCCCACACTGTGTCTTTATTTGAAATTTTTCCAGAGATGCCTTCAAAGAAAGAACGGGAGTCCTACTTCTTTAAAGATCACAACCACTAAAAGCTCATATGCAATGTATAATAAGAGTTTGATTTTGTATTGTACATTAATTATATTCACTTACCATAACTAATGTTAAATAGAGAATATGAATGATTGAATTGAAAACCATGTGACTTGCAAACTTTCATGCAAATAAAAATGTTATTTCTTTTTTTAAATGTTATTTTAAAATAAGTTATTTAAAAAACCCTACGGAGAGCAGTTCTGCTCTGTGTGTGGGGTTACTATGAATCCTAACAGATTTGATGGCAAGCTGTGTGTATAAAAACTTCCTACTCAATTTTTTTTTATAACTCCCGTGACTGCTAGGGTGCACCCTGGTGACCTTGTCTACAATGAGCTGTGCTTATACCCCAGTGACTGAGCCTCTCCATGGGTTTAAATCCACCAGCGGCTCTTAGGGGAAGAGGTGGGCAACCTCCTTCTATGGGATTTACAGCCTCAAAAATCCAATGAAAAGTCAGCTAGCGGTAAGTTGTAGCTTGAGGGCAATGAGCGAGTTAATTGCTAAAATTCAAAAAGAAAAGAAAACAAACAATAATAGTTGTAAAGTTGATTCTGATTCCTGACCAGCTCGCCTCTGCTGGAATAGAACTATGTTCCGCAAAGTTATCAGTAGCTAATTATTTTTTTAATTAGATCCCCAGATCTATCTTTCAAGGTTCCTCTGGGAGAGCTTGAACCTCTAGTCTTTCGTTTAGTAGTTGAATACATTAACAGTTTGTACCATCCAAGGTGTAACTCTGAGCGTTGTTGTTTTGTGCCATTGACTCTGAACTGACCCATAGCTGACCTTTCAGCAGGTTCTTCACTCTTCACTCAGATTTAATGACCAGTGTTCTCTCATTCTTTCATCATCAATACTTCTGGAACATATCCCTCTCAACTTCCTCTATTCTCGCTCCAGATGCAAATGAGATTTCAACTCTATAATTCATTGTTGTTGTTGTTGATTGCCTTTGCATTGAGCACGACTCATAGCGACCCTCTGAACAAAAGGCCTGAAGCTGCTCTACACCTATCAACATTTATCAAAGTTCATAGAGTTTCTGGAGGCATCTTATTTAGGAAGTGGATGTCACTCCTGCTTCCAAAACTGTCATATAATGTTATTGTTATTATGTGCCACTGAGTCACCTGCAAATGCATATAGACCCTGTGTACAGCAGCTCTGAACCTTTCCCTGTCCTGAGCAAGTCTCACTGACTCGGACACACCAACCTCAATTGCCCCAGTTACCATATCAACCATCTCATATGGGGTCTCCCTCTCCTGCGCTAGTGACTCCATGGGTTTCCGACACTGTGTGTGTGAAGATGCCACTCAGTTCGAAAGCCAGAACCTGAAGTAGAATTGACACTGAAGATATCCTTTTCCAAAAGATGAGATTAAGATAGCTGACACCCTTCTTGGAGAAAGGTGTTACCTGATCAAGGAGATTACAGAGAGCTCTCAGATCCTGTCTTGTGTGACTCCGTGGGTTTCCGATGCTGTGTGTGTGAAGATGCCACTCAGTTCAAAAGCCAGACAGGGATGGAATTTAAAGGTATCTGCCACCTGCCCCTCCATTGCTGCAGTTCATAATCTCGACTTTGAGTCCTTCCGTTACCCAACATGCATCAATCTTGCCTTCACTCAGCCCCTAGTGGAATCATGATTCTTGGTGTGTTGGTTTATGTGTTTCACGAACACTGTATGCCTAATTAAGCACAGAGGATGCTTTTATAGAAAAACAGCCTTAGCTCATAGACCAGGGATCCCCAAAATAGCATCAATCTCACATGTTCACATTCTCACATGCTTCCTTGAAAGGACACAGTATGAATAGAATATCAACTAAGGAAACAAACAAACAAAAAAACCCCTTTGTTGTTTTTTTGAGTAACAGGTCTTTCTTCTATAATGTCTCTCAGTAGACTGGAAGGGCCAAACTCTTTTTTCAGTTGTTTTCGTTTTTTTAAATTAATATTTTTAACAAAAGATTTCCATTCATTCATTGTTTTGATTTTCCTCCCTAACTCCCTCCCTACCTCCTATCCTGGACTCCTGTCATACCAATAATACTTCTAAGCAGTTCTCTCTTTAGGCCGCTCAAAGATGCTAAGTCACCACTGGTGAATAATTCTGCAACCCCTGGGTAAATTCATGAGAGTGGGTCCTTTCTCTGATCATCATCTAACTGATCAACAAAGCTAAGAGCAGTCTGTCTCTTACTCCAATCCTTGTTCCTTTTTGTTTGGTAAAGCAGAGGCCATTGTTATTTTGTTTTTTCAATTTCATATACATGAGCAGTGATTTACGCTGGCTGTGTACTCATATGTACTCAGCAAATGACTTTAAAACAAAAATAAATGGTAAGGAGTTGTGCTGCCAACCCAAAGGCACACAGTTCAAATCCACTAGATATTATGAGGGAGAAAGATGGACAGGCTCCTCCCATGTGATTTACAGCCTCTAAAAACTAGAGGATCAGCTATGAATTGGTTTCCACTCAATAATACACAACAGCAATAACATATACTCAGAAAATGGTTTTTAAACAAAAATAAGTAAAAATGCATACTTGCAAGTAAAGCCAGGGCAAGTAAAGGCACCATGTAGTTTCTTGAGAAGAAATGTTTTTAATTAAAGTTTTCCTTTTGGCTTTTTCCTCCCCAGTGACCCTCTTTGAAAATGGCAACCCCTCTTCACTCCTGACCGTTCACAGATCTGCCACAGAGCACCATGTGTGTGCCGACGGATGGCAGGGGGCGCTGAGTCAGCTGGCCTGCAAGCAGATGGGTTTAGGGTAAGGTCAGTAGTGTGTAGCACTGATGAATTTCTCTGAGGGCTTCGTGGAACTTGGCAGTAATATCTTCCTTATGCATGCACAGTGCGTTAGAGCTCTCAAACAAAGAGCCTGGAAATGCACGGGAAATGAATCAGGTGAGAGGGCCAAATGCAATTACCAGCACCTGCTTTGAAGAGTCTGGGCTGCAAACCGACTTTGATGAAGCCTCCAAAAACAAATGAAGTAATTGTATTTTAAGCACTTCTGAAATGAAATGCTTTCATTATTTATAAAAGAATTATGATGGTCCCCTCTGAGCAACCTGCATGGAAAAGTTCTTTCAATTCTCCCCAAGAGGTTATTGAAAATTCCTCTTTAAGCAACACATATTTTGTAATAAGTTGAGAAACAGAACTTGAAGTTGCTGGGATTTCAGTTTACCGTAAGTAATATAGGAGATGTAAACCAGGAAATGATTCAGTGGTTTTTGCATCTTAGTAAAATGCACAGACACCTATTCTGGTTTTGATACATACAAGCTGAAACAGAAACATTAAAACTTGGACACCGGCTATTTATGGGCTTACTCTTTCAGTTTCATCTGGGATGGAAGCAGTAGTTAGCAAAAACTTGAAATATTAGAGTTTGTATTGTTGACATACATGTGTACATTTGAAGTATATCTATACATATTGTATAAACATGCACAAATATACATCTTTCAAATATATTCCTGTCAAATAAGTAGATCCAAAAATTTGCACTGTTATGAAGAGATTTTGGGGAAATGTATACCTGAGGGAAATGAAAGGAAAAGGAGTTATAAAATTCTAGACTTTAAAAATAGCTCTTCCTTGTTGAAGGCTGAATCTTGATTAGATTTTTAGTTAGAGAGTTGCACTGGTAACCCAAAGGCAGTTCAGATCTACCAGCAGCCCCATGTAATTTTTAAAATTTTTACCTCCCATGTAATTTTTAAAAGTTATTTTCAGCATTTATTTTTATTTACAAGTTGTGTTCAATGCAAATCAATTCCATGACATGAGAAGTTACTATGATTCAAAACATAAGTACACAAACACCATATATAATCCAAACAGATGTACAACATTCACATATGAAGCAAAAGGGAATGTTCATTTACACACACAGTAGCCTGAGATTTATTGAAATCTGGTTGTTTCCATATGGAGGTTTCTAACCATGTTGTTGTTGATTACCATCGAGTCGAGCACGGCTCAGAGCGACCCTATATGAACAAAAGACCTGAGGCCTTTCTATCATTATTTCACCAGGTTTGTAGAGTTTCCAAAGCCAAGTGGTTTAGGAGGTGGATGCCACTCCTGCTTCCAATTCTAACCATGAGGGCAGTGTATTACTTTTGTTATCAAAACTACTGACCTCATATTAAATAAACTCCTACCATGTTGTTTACAGTCTCTCAAAACTGACTGGTGAGTTAACTGTGAGTTGTTGCCTACTCAATGGGCATGCATTAGAGTTTGAGTATTTTAAAATCAGGAAAGTCGAGAATGGTATGGATGGACTCCAATTTCTTGCTCTCTCCTCTCTAATCAAGAGGGATTTGGATTATAAAATAATGAGAGTTGTGAACCAGACAGACGATCTTGAATACCTGCTGCTTTTGGCTGCTGTGTGCTGTTCCTTCTCTTCTCATTCTTTAACCTTAAATAAAACCAGGTCTAGCTGAGCCCTGTAATGAGGCTCTATCCTCTACATGCTTCGTTTATAGTCCCATTGAGGAAATTACAAAGTGAGGCTTGGGATTCAGGTTATATTCCATCTTGGAAGAGACTGTGAGATTATAAAACCTTCTGCAATCTCTCCAGTTCTTGGAGGTCTTCAGGGTCTCCCAGGGAGGTCACAAAAGTCCTTTGCTTTGGGAAGAGTGTTGTATATTTCTTTGCAGAAGCAAGGAGGATAGATGGGTAACAGAACAATTTCTTTTAATATTTTTTCACTACTAGTTTATTTACAAAACTCAAATACAAATTCAAACAAATTCTTTCTATTTCCCTCACCCTCCCATCAAATTGTACAACCCAATGATTAATCCCTACCTCCCCCTGCACACCCACATCCATCTGCTTCCGGCCTCTCCCATCCCTCCTGGATCCTTCTACTCATTCTACAATGACGGTTTTAAACAATATTTATCCTTGTGGGACTGAGTTAGTTCACTCAGCATAATGCTCTCCAGTCCCTCCCAAGTTAGGTAATAATTTACAAAGGTATTGCTCCTGCATACTGCATAGTATTCAGTTGTGCAAATGTACTATAATTTCTCAATCCATTCATTTGTGGTTGGACATTTGGTCTGTTTCCATGTTCTTGTGATGGTGAATAAAGCTAATATGAGCATTAGTGTACAAATCTCAGTTTGTGCCTCAGTTTTCATATTCTCTGGATATATTCCAGATAGTGGAATAGCTGGGTCATATGGAACTTCTATGTTCAACCTTTTGAGGAAGTGCCAAACTGCCTTCCAGAATGATTGTACCATTTTACAATCCCAACAACAATGTAAAAGAGTTCCTTTATTGCCACATCCTCTCCAACATCTCTTATTTGCTGCCCTATTAAACTTTGCCACTCTTACTGGAGCAAGATGGTAGGTACCTCATTGAGGTTTTGACTTGCATATCTCTTATTGCCTGTGATTTGGAGCATTTCTTCATGTGTCTGTTTGCCATTCGAGTATCTTCCTCTGTGAAAATTCTTTCCATGTCTTTTGCCCATTTTGTAATTCGGTTTTCAATCTTTTTCTTGTGGAGGCCCAAGAGTAGTCAGTAAACTTTTGTTGTAAGACTCTTGTCTGAGATGGTATTACCAAATGTTTTCTCCCAGTCTGTAGGTTTTCTTTTCACCCTGTTGGAAAAAGTTTTTCATGTGCACAGGGATTTACTCTTTAGAAGGTCCCATGCATCAGTTTTATACTCTTTATATTGGACATTTCTGGTTGTATTTGGCAGTCTCTTTATATCGTGGACTAACACTTCTAAGCTTGACCTCAGTTTCTCTCTTATGAATGGTATGGTTTGGAACTTTACTCCCAGGTCTTTAATCCACCTTGAGTAAATTTTTGGGTATGGTGTGAGATATGGAAAGAGGAAAATTTGATTCTAGATTTTCAAAACATTTTAATATTACTTGTTTATGCTCATCTGAAAAATTATGTGTGTGAGAATAGTATTAAGATCTAAATAATTATTTTAGTGTGCAACTATCCTTAGTTGATATTTGAGAATTTGTGTGCCTCAGAATGTTTAGGATGCATACCCTGTGATGGAGTCCTGGTATGACAACAGTTAAGTGCTAACTAAGAAGTTAGCAGTTCAGACTTGGAGGACGCCAAGGTCAACTGTCACAACAGACCACATGGACAAGTTTCTATACTCTCCGTTGGTGAGTACTGACTAGGGGAGAAAAAACCAACCACAACTTTTCAAGCAGACATCTAAAGTGTAACCATTGGCCTCTCGTGTTTGAAGCAAAGACTAGTGAAGAACATCAAAGACATAAGGAAGCAATTAGTTCATAGCACCAGTTGATTTTGCAGTCCTCCATTTCCACTACTCTGAGGCGAGAAGACCTTGATGGTGCCCACCTACCACTGCTACCTGCTCTGAAAGGGATCACGTTAGAAGGTTCTGGATAGAGTGAGAGACACATAAAGAATAAAATTAAAAGTAACAATGGTAGTCTGTCTTACTGATCTGATGGAGACTGGTGAAACCCCAGAGTATATGCCCTTTAGTCACCCTTTGAGCCTGGACCTGAATCCACGCCTATGGTACAACAATTGACTTTGAGTCAAGCAATAGACAACTCTATAAAGTGAACAAAAACATCTGAAAGATACTCAGCACTTAGAACACTCAGGATCACAAGTAGACGTTTGTACAAAGATGAAACTTAGAAAGTGGAATGGAGAAGATGGAGGGGTGAATGGAAATAAGAACCAACCAGAGAGAAAGTGTTGATGCCATGTTGCTGTTGTTGTTGTTATGTGCCATCAAGTCACCTATGACTTATAGCAACCCTATGTACAAAAGCCCTAAACCCCTACTCTATCCCAAGCCAATCTTATTGTATCTGACACACCTATCTCCATCACCCCAGTCACTGAATCAATTCATCACATACAGGGTCTCCCTCTCTTGTGCTGTCCTTCCACCCTCCCAAGCATGTCATCCCTCTCCAAGGACTGATTCTGCCTTGCAACATGCCCAAAGTATGTCAAACGAAGCTTCAGAACCCTTGCCTCCAAGGAGTAGCCTGGATTCACCCTCTCCAGGATCAACTTGTTTGTTCTCCTGGCAGTCTGTGGTATAGTCAATACGTTTTTCCAGAACCACAGGTCAAAGGCATCAATTCTCCTTCTATCATCTCTAGTCATTATTCAGCTTTCTGATGCATAGCAATTAATTGCAAAGACCATGTCCTGTAACAGGCACACTTTAGTCTCCAGACTGACATCGTTGCTCTTCAGTACTTTGGAGAGGTCTCTGACAGCAGACTTTCCCAATGCAATTCATCTTTTAATTTTCTGGCTGCTGTTACCAAGAGTGTTGACTGTAGAGCCAAGCAAACTGAAGCTGTCAACAATCTCAAGTTCTTCCCCAACTATCATGATGCTGTCAGTTGGCCCAGTGGTGAGAATCTTTGTTTTCTTCATGTTGAGCTTCAATCCATATTGAAGGCTGCAGTAAGCGCTTCAGGTCCTCCTCAGTTTCAGCAGGCAGGGTTGTGTCATCTGCATAACACAGATTGTTGATGAGTCTACCTCCAATTCTGATGATACATTTCTTCTCATAGAGCCCAGCCTCCTGGATAATCTGTTTCACATATAAATTGAAAAGCTATGGAGATAGGACACATGTTTGGCACACATCTTTCCCAAGTTTGAACCATACAGTGTGTCCTTGTTCCATTCTGATGACTGCCTCCTGGCCCAAGCACAGGTTTCACTTAAGGACAATCAAGTGTTCTGGGAT